GCCTCACACCCAACACAGTTCGTTATCACTGGCCATAGTTTCTCATAAGAACTCTAAGAATTCCCTCTCGACGCTAGTCACTAGTGAAAATATGATCATTATCAGTAAACGGTTGTGGAGATTGTTGAGATTCAATTGAGATAATTAATCGATCATTGTATATATATATATACAATGATCGATTAATTATTGAGGCATTATGTAAAAGTAAACTTGTGTTACTATATTTGGTGCCTTGGTTGGAAAGCAAAACTTATCATTTAAGCTAGTCGATGTACGAATTATCATGAACTCAAAAGTCTTAGTATCAATGCATAGTAATCTGTTCTGTAAATTATTACTTATGCGGCTCTTATGAATTATTTACCATTAATTTTGAAGTTCGAAGACCAAGTTAGAGTTAAAGAACACTTTCTTAAGTGAAAATAGCTGTAGTGTATATATGAACCTATTTGCAATTCATAATGGAAACAGAAATTTGAACTATGGCCATTTTCTTCATAAATAATACATTCATAGACATAACTTTCTGACTTTTCCAAGAATAAGACTCGATCTTATCTGTAAAAATCCTATTAAGTTAGCTACCGAAATGGAGTAATTAATCTCATTCTTTTAAATTAAATTATATAACTTTTCATCCAACCAGTAATGCAACAATATTGAATAATCTGAATTACAATAACAAAAATATTAAGTTTTTCAAACATTCTATACACTATGACTATTGATTAAACTTATAACTTTCTGGATTTCAAATAAGCCCATCCACAATCAGTTCTTCATAAAACTTAACAATATTTGAAATACACTTTGACTTACTGCATCACTCTGGACGTGGTTTTACTCCATCGGTCATGAGGACTAGTAGCAAACTGTATTGTCTACTAGTTAAACAAAAATGATTCTTTAAATAATTATAAACAATCGGTTAGACAAGTTCACATGGTATTGCTTTACTTGAATCGACCCATTGATGATTAGGACTGCAATTGATCAGTCTCTTATGGACATAAGTGCATACTGTGTGTATTGCCTCGATATTGCCTTAATTTACAAGCATTATAAGCAAAGATGGATAGTGACTATCAGTGGAATCCAGGACTGGCGTTTCGTTCTATTTGTGGAGATACAAGTAAAACAACACCAAGTGAATTTAAACTTCACCCCATTGCACAATCGAGTGGCTGTTAGGACTCATTAGCTAAGTGGATAACGCGAACGGTACTGGATTCGAGTCCCGGAGTGAACATTAACTCTGAGATGCACGTACATACAGCTGACGAGTTCCAGAAAGGACGAAACGCGCGTCATAGATTTCACTGCTAGCCACTATCCATCCTTGCTTATAATCGGTTAGACAATTTAATGATTTATTTATTCAATTTCTTCTTAGACATATTAAATAAAACTATAACCAATGTTTTGTTTTCCTGTAAACTTAATAATAAAAGGTTTATCCGAATTATATTGGGAAAGAAGAACAGATAGCACTTTTTTTCAATTTTACCAGTCTTTATGATGATGCTATTTAAAAACGAATTTACCAGTCTATTGATTTTACATAGAATACATACTGTCAGTTATTTTAAATAGTCTTTCTGTAATATCATTATTAATTTCAGCCAATACTCGTCCCTGTTACTTGAATCATTATGTAAGAAGTCATTCATATTGTATATTCATCTATTGTTCATATAGTGAATATAAATTAATTTCAGATTTATATGACCAGTCCTTCCAGACTGTTATGCTGACCTTATAATTTAACCAAAAAATACCACCTCTTACTTCAGAGATCAATTACCAGTAAGTTACTATTTTTGATTAGAAATGTTCGACTAATATTTTCTGATTTATAGATCAATATACGCCGTTTCAACGTGTTTATAAAATTACATTAGGAATGTTTTATTTCTTCGTTTATCCCAATTAAACGTTATGTGGACGAGTCATTATTTAAGATGGCGATGATTAGGCTGATGTAAAAATATGAATCACTACGTGTTTAGACGAATCTTAAGGGTTTCTGATCAGTAATAGGTTACAGTGACAACTTTTCTACTGTTAATTATTAACTGTTCGAAATCTTTCTTCTGGTGGCATTGATAATTAGTGATAATATATATATATGATTTATGTATACCTAACTGGAGAACCAGAGAACCAAAGTTGTTCTTAATTATATTCCGGTTCGGTTATTTCAAAGATCAATTTATCTACTAACGATGAGTTTCGCCGTAACTTGGTTTATCCTCATGAGTTTTTTGTTTTTAAAGATATAGAACCAAAAAATCTCCTTTATTCTACGTAATTTCTGCGGCTTGTAGTTTTCTCAAAATTTATCGATTCAGAAATATATGGTAATTTTGAAATGTACTACATGAAATATCATTGAAGGGAAATTGTATGTAATAATTCTTCCAAACCATCGCTGTCAATGAATTTATGTCTCAGAGCTCAGATTTTCATCTTGTGTGCCAAAGGCCTCGTTCTACTGTACACAATTTTTGCACGTGTATTTATCATATTACATGGTTAGCGTCTCTCTCGAAAATCAGAGAAATACCTTTCTAGGTAATATGCAACAATCAGTTACTCTTCCATTCCTCACAAATCTTAGTAAATAGCACTGTACAGTTCAGAAATAGAATTTAACCTATTACTTTTTGCTATCATCATTGTAATCCAAGTATAGAATTTCTGATTAGATAGGTAATTAATAGATTCAAGTCTGTTTCATATATCTATTAGTAAAATTATCTTTTTGAATGATGCTTGCTTGATTGATCTGATGACAAGGTTAACTAAATTTACTCCTCTTAACATATATTCCCATATTAAAATTAAATGTACAGCTTTAAATATTGATTGCATTATCCGTCAAAACCCTTATCAAGTTAAATGTCTTGTTTTAAAGTTTATAAAAACATTGAAAAAATATAGGTTCTATTGAAATCTCTTAAAAAATAAACTATAAAATGAAAAATCATTCACTTTAAATCTCTCACTAAGGTGTGAGAACGGCCCACGGGTAAACTCAAGGAAGCTCCAAGATGCTCAGAAAGAGCCGAAGATATTCCATCCAATCGTCTTTTGGAAGAACATTCCAGAATCTTGACGTGTAGCGTCCCTATTGGACAAATGCTAAAAACCACTGTATGCGGATTGGATGACTGTAATGATGATTTCGCATTTAATAAAAACTACAAATACATGAGAGTTTGTAACATATTTGACACTAGTTGGAATAGCATATCTTCTCGTTTGTATTCTGTCTTCTCAGTTGCAATTCGAAGGGTTCTAGCGTTCAAGTGCTCAAGTTGTGCGAGTTATATCAAGAATCTAATTTTTAGATATAACGTAGGGTGACATCAAAAACCCATATGTTTAGTTGAAAATGATAGAGTACTCGAAGTAATGTCTTAAAACACATTTTAAGTTATACACAGGATTCTACTGAAAGTTTCGTTTGTTTATAGACATTAGTGGTAAAATATATTTTTCGTATTGCTCAGGAAACATTTTACAGTATTAATATAATCTAGCACTTACTAATGAAGTTCATGTATTATAGTACAAAAAATGGCGGATCAATAAATTTTGTTTCCATTTACATTGAAGGTTATCAGCGAATTCAGTAATTTATATTTTACGTTTAATGATTTTTAGTTTTATTTAGAAAAATTACATAAAACTAATATTTTACAAATATTAACTGAGATATCATTCAAAAGCATAGAACAATGAGTAACCGCTATCTCTTAACTCACAACTACTTCACCCTTTTTCACCCATAACTCTATATAATATGAAATCGAAGAAACTCAGATATCAGACTGATAGGTCCTGGGCTGAAATCTCGCGGAGGGTGGGGTCGTGGATGCGCACTGTTGAGGAATCCCATACTAGGACGAAACGGCCCTCCAGTGATTCCAGGTTTCCAATGGTGGTCTGACATCAATTGACTCCTGATTTCAACTAATGAAATTACTAAAATCTCCACAAAAAACACCTTCTGATAATAATCATCTTATCACTAGTGAATGACTTCAAGAGGCATTTCCTGGAGTTCTAATGAGAAGCCGTGACCAGGGGAGTTCAACCAGGTCTGTTGTAAGATATCATCTCACTGAAGACAATGGTGGACGGTGGCGCGATTTCGTGGATTGGTTGAAGTTAGACATTAACACCGTTGGATACAGGCTCAGTGGTCTAATGATCTAGCGCTCGCGTGCGAGAACGATAGGTCCTGGATTGGAATCTTGCGAGGTGAGCTTGTGGATTCGCACTGTTGAGGAGTCCCACACTAGGACGAAACGAACGTCCAGTGCTTCCAGGTTTTCCATGGTGGTTTAGCTTCAATCGACTTATGATTTCAATTAAGAACTTAATAATCTCCACAACCCTATAATGAAAATTTAGTCAGTTTGAATATTCACTGTGCGCATAACTAATGATAGTAGGGTTAGTATAAAGAATGAAACAGATAATGTATCTGACAATTAAGATTTATTTTTTGGATAAATCTCTCATATATATGAATTCTTTGGTCATTACACTGTGATTAGCTTGTAATGACTTTTTCTTCAAAATATTTACAAAAGCAATTTAATATTCACTAATTATTTTACATATTTACTGCTCATTGAGATATAACAAAAGTGACAATTCCATTAAATTGGCTACAATCAATTAGTGAATATACAATACCTAATTACACTCTTAAACATTAATGAGAAAATTTAAGCAAATAATCACCAAATAAATTTCATACTCAGATACAGTAAAAAAATATTGATTTTGTGGAATAAAAAAAGATTGATAATCGCTTGACAACAAATAAAATTGTATTAAAATAAACAAATTTGTTTCTTTTTATAAAAAAAAACTATGAAAAGATGAATAAATAAACAAAAAAAATTGTAAAAAATTTTTTTTAATCAAAATAAACTGATCACTTGAATATTTAAAAGAAAAAAGCAACAACATTTACTTACATCAAATAAATTAACGTATGGATCAGGAAAATTCATTATTTTCAAACTATATGAATTATCAATATCATTTATTGGTGAATTCAATTTATGCGAAAATTTCACTAATCCATAATTTGCATATTTAATAATTAAATCATCTATTAAATTTCCAATAATTGTACCAATGGGAACTTCTTCTTCAATAGAATATTCATGATCAACTGGTGAATTGATAGTTTGAAGTAATGAATTACAATTTATAATGAATAATAATAATAGTTTCAATGAAAATAATAAAATCCTTAATTGATTATAATTATTCATGATGTTGTAATTGAGAATAAATCTGTAAACGTAAACAAAACAAAACAGAAAGAATATTCATAATATTTATGTAACAAAAATAATCTCTTGAATACAGTATTCATTTTAAAGCTGATATCATCTGGAATAGTGTTAACAAATTGGGTAATAGTACTGAACACTAGTTTAGTCATAGTTTATTACGCATATTGTACAAATCTCAAACTAGGAAAACAAAAGAATTAACCAATTATTCTTTCTACAGCTTTACATTCTTATAAAAACTACCTTTTAAATAATCAAAACTTTTTTTATAAAATCATGGAGGTCAGAGCACTGCAGACTTGATATATTGACGGAGAGCGTGGCAAAAATTGCTGAAAAGCGGAAAGTGGAGCGGCGAGCAGAACCAACACTAAGACAACTGCTTTAAAGGGTGGACGAGTGTGATGTGAGCTATTTATATGCATATAAGTAGCATGTAACGATAGTCAGGAATAGAATGTATTTCAAAAGAAGATCGTGAAGAATAGAACGGAAACGGAAAACAATTGGTACGAATATACGAGAACAATGAAATCTGAGACGATGGACTGATATTTGCAGAAGAAGCAGTCAAATTGGGAATAACTGATGGGTATTTTGAAAATTAAGTATTCACTGTATGGTTCTCAGCTTTTATTGAGATATTCTGTTGTTTTGTGTTCAATCACATTTGATTGACGCCATTCACGAATTCATTCACTACAATATTACCAATGTTAATAATAAAGCGGAAATTCACATCAGTCAACTTCACGAATGAAATACGATTCACTAACTAAATTTAGTATTAATAAATCCTAAATTTCAGTTTACTAATTTAGTAGAATACTAAGGTTCAAGGTTATTGAGAAAAAACAAACGGTCATAATTAAATAAATGCATTTATTTTATCCATTAATGAATGATCATTTCAAAGTAGCCTTTATTAAAGACTTTATATATCAACTCTATTTATTTTTTGTTTATATATTAGTCCTCTTATATGTTCATTAACGACTACCTTTCAGATTAATTTTTGCAAAGTTCTCGCGAAAATCCAAGACTCGTGAAATGAAACAAATTTTGACCATAACTCTGAATGTAAATCATTATACATAAAAAAATTGATCTTATTTGATCATTAATCTTTCGTATAAAGATTGAAGATCTAAATGAAAATTAGTAATAGATGTTGAAACTGCTATAAACCTAAAAGAAGTGTATACCGATTCGTAGAGATGTTGTGATTGTTTTTTCTTCTTTCAAAGTAAAATGTTAGAAATTAGACAAGCTGTAATTACCATGATACAATTCTGTATTTAAAATGAGGCAAATACTGTCCGTTGGTCGGACACTATTAGCAACAAAGTACTATGGGAGAGAACAAACCAGATCCCAGTGAAGGGAGAAATCAGGAAGAAGCGCTGGAAGTGGATAGGAAACACATTGAGGAAAGCACCCAACTGCGTCACAACACAAGCCCTCACATGGAATCCTCAAGGCCAAAGGAGGAGAGGAAGACCAAAGAACACATTACGTCGAGAAATAGAGATAGACATGAGAAAAATGAAGAAGAATTGGATGAAACTAGAAAAGAAGGCCCAGGACAGAGTGGGTTGGAGAATGCTGGTCAACGGCCTATGCTCCATTGGGAGTAACAGGCGTAAGTAAGTAAGTTAATACTGTAAAAACTTATTTTATTATATCAATCTAGTAATAATCAGTTTTTGATTGAGATCATGAACCGACTGATGTTACTTTTTATTAGTTACTTTTATCAGTTAAAATGATGACAAAATCTGTTATAACTCTAAGGTAGTTAGCTTTGAAATCGCTATATATTTCATTACTAAAATGTCAATAATAAGAACATATTAACACATTCCTTGACAATAAGAAGTATAAACATCTGTATTTATTCTATAATATGCTAATCCTAATCTGTTATATATAAATATATATCCATTCATTTAAGGATATAATGAACAATTGGTTTATAAAACATTCAATTTTTCATTTGAACTCTATACATTTTGTATAGTTTGTTATAATTTAAACCAGTATAGTAAAACAATTCATTATTAATTAATTGTATAATTATAAAATTTACTACAGAATAATTACAATACAAGTTGGTGAATATGGTTACATTTAAAAGGTTGTTACTATTATTCAACTATTTAATTAGATAAACAATTCCATATTTTATCAGTAAAATCATTTACAATATAATCAATTGTCAACAGTAACAAACAAATCATCGGTGTGACTAAAATTCATGGACGAACCAATCACTTATAAGATAAACGGTCTCGGATTTCGGTGTAAAATTGACTCATCCATTCGGCTAAAGAAAATCTTAGCATTATAGCTGATGTTAGTTAGTGATGATAACTATAAATCTAATTCCTCACACTGGTTTATAACCTTTATCTAGTCCTAGTTATTAGGTGAACACTCTCAAGGTCACTTTAGAGTCGCTCAAATGTCGTCCATAAATTATAATCTCACTAAATCTATATACATCATTCTACTTAGTAAAATATAAACTGTTGGGACTATGCAATTACCATTTCTTTTTGACAGTAGATTTTAAATTGAGACTATTTATTTTTAAATCATATATATATATATATAGAGAGAGAGAGATAGATATTCCCTGAATTCAAGTTAGGCTATATGAATAATGAATAAATATACTTTTGTAATCGACAGTTTTGTTTTAGAGAAACTAGTTAAACCTAAAATATTTTGATGGAGTTTTGTTCTCTGATCTGAATTTTATGCTAATGATGTCGTTCAGAAGAACGATGAAAGCTCCACGACCAAACCACCTAGCTCAGAGAAGAAAACTTCACCAAAATCATCCACCTGAGCTACAAACCTTCTCCACCATCTCAAAACCTAAAATATATTTGATGGGTATAAATCATTTGTTGACCTTACAAAAAAGAAACAAAAATTAAAATTATCAGCGCATGATTAACCAATTATGAATAAATCACTCATCCTTATTAACATTTTCTCATTCCATACATACTACACGCAAACTATCATCTAGTCCATTAATCTAAATTGCTTAGATTCAAAAAATAACTATCTTAACTATTTTGTTATTTATTCTTAATCTCTATTCGGTTTCATCACATCATTGAAATTAATGTATGTGATCATTTTAAATTTTTGCAACCATAAATAACTTTCCTACTAAACAACCCTCTTCCCCTAGAAATTTCACATTATTTTCATACTTAATGTGTAACTAATTATTAAATATTTTGTATAAATCACATTAAAAATCTTTTGGAAATCGAATCAGTAATATGTTTATCTCCATTTTTTAAAAATCTAAATGAAATCCATAAATCAAAGCGCTGAAAGGAGTCCATACCAAGATTGAATTTGATAGTTTCAAAAAAACGTTTAAGCATTGAGTAGAAAGTTAATAACAAATACATCTTTGTTATATCCTAATGAGTAGAAAAAATAAAGTGTATTTCTGATATTTCGTCACTTATTGTAAACCACTTCTTGAGAGTAAATAAATAATCGACATTAAGTTAACACTATTTAAACGTGTGTTAATTTGATCTCGATTATTTATTTACTCTGAAGAAATACTTACTTACTTCCTTACGCCTGTTACTCCCAATGGAGCATAGGCCGTCGACCAGCATTCTCCAACACACTCTGTCCTGGGCCTTCTTTTCTAGTTTCATCCAATTCTTCTTCATTTTTCTCATATCTGTCTCTATTTCTCGACGTAATGTGTTCTTTGGTCTTCCTCTTTTCCTTTGGCCTTGAGGATTCCATGTGAGGGCTTGTGTTGTGACGCAGTTGGGTGCTTTCCTCAATGTGTGTTCTATCCACTTCCAGCGCTTCTTCCTGATTTCTTCCTCCGCTGGGATCTGGTTTGTTCTCTTCCACAGTAGGTTGTTGCTAATAGTGTCCGGCCAACGGATCTGAAGTATTTTGAGTAAACAACTGTTAATAAACACTTGTATCTTCTGGATGATGACTTTCGTAGTTCTTCAGGTTTCTGCCCCATACAGTAGAACTGTCTTGACATTTGTATTGAAAATCCTGAACTTGGTATTGGTTGACAGTTGCTTTGAGTTCCAGATGTTTCTCAGTTGTAAATATGCTGCTCTTGCTTTTCCGATCCGCGCCTTCACATCTGCATCAGATCCACCATGCCCAACAAAGGACCTGACCATTCTGATGAGAGATTTCAGTGCCAAGGTTGAAACGGACAACACTAGATATGAAGACATCATGGGACGACACGGACTGGGAGAAAGGAACGAAAATGGTGAGAGATTTGCAAACCTATGTGCCTTCAAGAAACTGGTCATAGGCGGCAGCATATTCCCACTCTGAAGAAATGGCTCACATTAAATTGCGAAATGTCAGAAATACAATTTCTTCCTACTCATTAGAATATACCAAAAATACTATCATTATTACATAAATCAAAGTATAGAGATGTCCATGTGAAATTAATCAAAATAGTATGAAATGCAACAACGAAGTTAAACTGCTCACCCAAAACAATCAGTAATATAATATAGTTAAACAAACTTTTTTTGAAAAATCAAAACAAGAAAGCTGATAGATACTGAGTAGTTTGATGATCAATAAATAAAAGAAATCGTACCTTTATTCCACATTCACAATGCCCATATATTTTAGTTTAGTTAAACCATTTTTTATCTCTTTTTTCACTAGTATCTATTGAATGTAACATTATTCAGAAAACAGAAATATAGAAAACAACTACTTACCATAATTATTATTATTACTATTACTAGTAATAGCTTTATCCATTACTATGTTTTTAGTATAAAACAGAATTCCGATCACAAGGTATTTATGCAAGCTTCTTTTACAAGACGAAAGAAGAGAATAAACCGTTGATTGCATACATATATATGTAAAATTAAGTAAATAAACTATCTTGAATTAAATGAAATGTTTTTCTAAGAAGATTAGAATCTGTACAACTTTTAATTAGAAACA